GGCTGGCGGCAACCGCACAGCTCCATTTGATTCCCGGGCTTGCCTGCACTAAGCGCGCAGCGAATCAGTCACGCACAAGGCGCATGCGGCAAGGATGAAGCCTGTGTGGGGTACAATTCGATCTTTTGTTGTTGCTTACTTTTATTATAGTTTGGGTCAACTCTATTCAGTAACATCAAGGACTTCTAACATTGTTCGCAATTGGCGTATATCGGAGTTTCAGGGGCCTGCAACGGTTTGCCGAAAGACACCGTGCAGGCAGTTGCGACAAACAAGCGAACCGCTTGAAACTATTCAAGCTGCAGTCAAGTGTTTCAAGCCTTCAGCGGCAGCAAAGGGGCTTACTTTGTTAGAGGTATGTAGACTGGGCAAAGCGGACTTTTGGCCACCGGGTTGGACGTGTCAATGTTGCACAGGGTCCTGGCATGTCCTGACTGAGCTGGCGGGCTTTGAGACTTGGTTTCTTTTGATGTGAGTTGCCCGCAGCATTCCTTGGCAAGACCTGCTTTGAGTGTTTGATCCTCTCCTCCATCGCTTTCTAGCAAAGATGATGCAAATGGCCAGCGCGGTGGGAGGCACGGACGCTATGAAGAAGCAGATCGAAGATCAGCTTGCAGAGAAGGCTCCTGCGAGCATCAAGCCCTTCTTCCCCTGCTGCGGCGGCCCAGTCGCCACCACGGAGAAGTGCATGTGCATGGTGCCAGCGGATCAGCAAGAGCAGGCAGGGTTGGAAATTTCAGGGCCGAAGGGTACTTGGGGGAAATGCAGGAACTTGCCGGGTTGGAGCGCCCATGACATGTTGCCCAATCTGTGTTAAGGCCGGGCTTGAGGATTTGAGGCTAGTTGAGGGAGTGAAGGAGCCATGCTTCACACTTGGCAGCTTGGCTTCAAGATGCTTCAAGACTTCAGGTGAAGTCTGCTATCGAGAAATACAAGTCCTTCTGAGACTTCTGAGCCTTGTGACGTTTTGCAAGTCGCACCTCCCCACATGAAACTGTGGAGTGGCTTCGCGTGCCGCACAGAGTGCGGCATGGGTATGGACTTGCCTTCTTGCCTTACTTGCGTTGCTCTGGCTGAGCTCTGCGTCGGGTGGCTGGCGGCAACCGCACAGCTCCATTTGATTCCCGGGCTTGCCTGCACTAAGCGCGCAGCGAATCAGTCACGCACAAAGCGCATGCGGCAAGGATGAAGCCTGTGTGGGGTACAGTTCGATCTTTTGTTTTTTGCTTACTTTTATTATAGTTTGGGTCAACTCTATTCAGTAACATCAGTGACTTTTAACATTGTTCGCAATTGGCGTATATCGGAGTTTCAGGGGCCTGCAACGGTTTGCCGAAAGACACCGTGCAGGCAGTTGCGACAAACAAGCGAACCGCTTGAAACTATTCAAGCTGCAGTCAAGTGTTTCAAGTCTTTAGTGGCAGCAAAGAGGCTTACTTTGTTAGAGGTATGTAGACTGGGCAAAGCGGACTTTTTGCCACCGGGTTGGACGTGTCAATGTTGCACAAGGTCCTGGCATGTCCTGACTGAGCTGGCGGGCTTTGAGACTTGGTTTCTTTTGATGTGAGTTGCCCGCAGCATTCCTTGGCAAGACCTGCTTTGAGTGTTTGATCCTCTCCTCCATCGCTTTCTAGCAAAGATGATGCAAATGGCCAGCGCGGTGGGAGGCACGGACGCTATGAAGAAGCAGATCGAAGATCAGCTTGCAGAGAAGGCTCCTGCGAGCATCAAGCCCTTCTTCCCCTGCTGCGGCGGCCCAGTCGCCACCACAGAGAAGTGCATGTGCATGGTGCCAGCGGATCAGCAAGAGCAGGCAGGGTTGGAAATTTCAGGGCCGAAGGGTACTTGGGGGAAATGCGGGAACTTGCCGGGTTGGAGCGCCCATGACATGTTGCCCAATCTGTGTTAAGGCCGGGCTTGAGGATTTGAGGCTAGTTGAGGGAGTGAAGGAGCCATGCTTCACACTTAGCAGCTTGGCTTCAAGATGCTTCAAGACTTCAGGTGAAGTCTGCCATCGAGAAATACAAGTCCTTCTGAGACTTCTGAGCCTTGTGACGTTTTGCAAGTCACACCTCCCCACATGAAACTGTGGAGTGGCTTCGCGCGCCGCACAGAGTGCGGCATGGGTATGGACTTGCCTTCTTGCCTTACTTGCGTTGCTCTGGCTGAGCTCTGCGTCGGATGGCTGGCGGCAACCGCACAGCTCCATTTGATTCCCGGGCTTGCCTGCACTAAGCGCGCAGCGAATCAGTCACGCACAAAGCGCATGCGGCAAGGATGAAGCCTGTGTGGGGTACAATTCAATCTTTTGTTTTTTGCTTACTTTTATTATAGTTTGGGTCAACTCTATTCAGTAACATCAATGACTTCTAACATGGTTCGCAATTGGCGTATATCGGAGTTTCAGGGGCCTGCAACGGTTTGCCGAAAGACACCGTGCAGGCAGTTGCGACAAACAAGCGAACCGCTTGAAACTATTCAATCTGCAGTCAAGGGTTTCAAGTCTTTAGTGGCAGCAAAGAGGCTTACTTTGTTAGAGGTATGTAGACTGGGCAAAGCGGACTTTTGGCCACCGGGTTGGAAGTGTCAATGTTGCACAGGGTCCTGGCATGTCCTGACTGAGCTGGCGGGCTTTGAGACTTGGTTGCTTTTGATGTGAGTTGCCCGCAGCAATCCTTGGCAAGACCTGCTTTGAGTGTTTGATCCTCTCCTCCATCGCTTTCTAGCAAAGATGATGCAAATGGCCAGCGCGGTGGGAGGCACGGACGCTATGAAGAAGCAGATCGAAGATCAGCTTGCAGAGAAGGCTCCTGCGAGCATCAAGCCCTTCTTCCCCTGCTGCGGCGGCCCAGTCGCCACCACAGAGAAGTGCATGTGCATGGTGCCAGCGGATCAGCAAGAGCAGGCAGGGTTGGAAATTTCAGGGCCGAAGGGTACTTGGGGGGAAATGCGGGAACTTGCCGGGTTGGAGCGCCCATGACATGTTGCCCAATCTGTGTTAAGGCCGGGCTTGAGGATTTGAGGCTAGTTGAGGGAGTGAAGGAGCCATGCTTCGCACTTAGCAGCTTGGCTTCAAGATGCATCAAGACTTCAGGTGAAGTCTGCCATCGAGAAATACAAGTCCTTCTGAGACTTCTGAGCCTTGTGACGTTTTGCAAGTCGCACCTCCCCACATGAAACTGTGGAGTGGCTTCGCGTGCCGCACAGAGTGCGGCATGGGTATGGACTTGCCTTCTTGCCTTACTTGCGTTGCTCTGGCTGAGCTCTGGGTCGGGTGGCTGGCGGCAACCGCACAGCTCCGTTTGATTCCCGGGCTTGCCTGCACTAAGCGCGCAGCGAATCAGTCACGCACAATGCGCATGCGGCAAGGATGAAGCCTGTGTGGGGTACAGTTCGATCTTTTGTTTTTTGCTTACTTTTATTATAGTTTGGGTCAACTCTATTCAGTAACATCAATGACTTCTAACATGGTTCGCAATTGGCGTATATCGGAGTTTCAGGGGCCTGCAACGGTTTGCCGAAAGACACCGTGCAGGCAGTTGCGACAAACAAGCGAACCGCTTGAAACTATTCAAGCTGCAGTCAAGGGTTTCAAGTCTTTAGTGGCAGCAAAGAGGCTTACTTCGTTAGAGGTATGTAGACTGGGCAAAGCGGACTTTTGGCCACCGGGTTGGAAGTGTCAATGTTGCACAGGGTCCTGGCATGTCCTGACTGAGCTGGCGGGCTTTGAGACTTGGTTGCTTTTGATGTGAGTTGCCCGCAGCAATCCTTGGCAAGACCTGCTTTGAGTGTTTGATCCTCTCCTCCATCGCTTTCTAGCAAAGATGATGCAAATGGCCAGCGCGGTGGGAGGCACGGACGCTATGAAGAAGCAGATCGAAGATCAGCTTGCAGAGAAGGCTCCTGCGAGCATCAAACCCTTCTTCCCCTGCTGCGGCGGCCCAGTCGCCACCACGGAGAAGTGCATGTGCATGGTGCCAGCGGATCAGCAAGAGCAGGCAGGGTTGGAATTTTCAGGGCCGAAGGGTACTTGGGGGAAATGCGGGAACTTGCCGGGTTGGAGCGCCCATGACATGTTGCCCAATCTGTGTTAAGGCCGGGCTTGAGGATTTGAGGCTAGTTGAGGGAGTGAAGGAGCCATGCTTCGCACTTAGCAGCTTGGCTTCAAGATGCATCAAGACTTCAGGTGAAGTCTGCCATCGAGAAATACAAGTCCTTCTGAGACTTCTGAGCCTTGTGACGTTTTGCAAGTCGCACCTCCCCACATGAAACTGTGGAGTGGCTTCGCGCGCCGCACAGAGTGCGGCATGGGTATGGACTTGCCTTCTTGCCTTACTTGCGTTGCTCTGGCTGAGCTCTGCGTCGGGTGGCTGGCGGCAACCGCACAGCTAAGTCCCTTTGGAAGAGACTTCGCTAGATTTTTGCAGTGAGGGATAAATGAGTTGCAGCACATTGCTCGTGGATTGCGCATGAATTGCAAAGAGACTGTGTAAAAAGCGCAATGCTTCAGCAGCCATGAGTTGATGCTTGCGTGCCAGTGTGCCAGCATTTGTTTGCATCGTGCTGCTGTGTTTTGAGGGCACGGCCCCGAGAGAGTCTAGAGACAGTGTGGGGCTTAGGACTGCAACCATAAGCTATAATGGAGACGCCAAGGTTTGCAAGGGCAGTGGGCACAGAATGGTTTTTGCGGGCTGGTTTTGTGCCCGTGGCCCGTGTTTATAGATTTTGGCGGCTTGTGGACTGCAAATCCACCCCAACCCACCCAGAAAGCTGTCCTAAGCCCATTCCAAACCACCCTAAACCAATCCAAAACCCAGTTTGAGCTTCCTCTTTTCACCTGAGAGCCATGTTGGCTGCTGTTTTTGTCTTGTTTTGCGGCTGGCTGGCCTTTGGGCTTTGCGTTTTTCCGTAGAATTTGGTGTCCTTTGGGCTCCAAAGCCACAACCCCCACCCCCAAACAACCTTGAACCCAGACTAAGCAGTCAATGCGATGTCTGCAGGTTTGAAGAAGGTGATCTCGAAGGAATTCTAGAGCATTGGTATGAGGCCCAGGCGAGGGATGGGCCAATCTACTCAACGTGCTTGTCATGGAATTTACTCAAAATGATTTTTTTGACAACCCCCGCAACATGCAAGATATGGTACAAAGACAAGATGCTATGGGATCGACTTGAAGAGATGCTTCAAATCTCACCGACGGGCCACAGGTAGTTATTGTAAACGCTTCGCCCCGCCTCGGCCAGAGCCGCAGAGAGCTACAGAATGGCGGGCCAAGCGAAGGTGCAAATTGTGTATGGAATTTGACTGGTTTCTGGGAGGGAATTTTGCCGGTTTCTGGTGGGATTTGACAGGAGTTGGACCTGTTTTAGAGGGGATTTGACATGTTTCTCCAGGGGAGGTTGACCGGTTTCTACCGTTTTTGGTGGCGATTTGACTGGCTTTTGAAGGGGAATTTGACTGGAATTTGACGGGTTTATGGGGAAGGGGTTGGGGATGGGGCTTGGAAGATCTTGAAGAAAAGGCTGGCCGCTTCCCGGCCCTTACGGGCAACTACTTGTGGATTACTCAACACAAAGACGCTTCCCTCACATGAACACAAACAAGATGAGTAGTCTTTCCAGCATTCTCTGGTTGATTTGGTGAGCTTGGAGCACGCGCCACGCATGTCGCAAAAGAGAGCCAGCGTCTTTTGTCGCTGTTCAACGCGTTTGCAGGACTACGGCTTTATCCGCGCGAAGCAGGGCGGACCCAAGCTAGTAGCCTTCCGGTCTCAATTTGTGGATAGCTGCCTGGCAACGAAAATTCGGTCGCGCCATTCCAAACGACTACTTTCTGTGCGCTTTGCTTTCAGGTTACACACCAATACCGGGAGTGGATGTAGTCTTCGAGGCACGGTCTGCGAAGCAGAGCCAACTGTGTCAACCGGATTTATATATGAGATGCAAGATTTCCATGGTTCAGCACGTAAAAATGTTGTTGTCGACTACATGAACAGCAAGCTTTCGGCCCCAAGGAGGCCAAAGGTGAACAAATGATGGCTGGTGAGGGCATAGCCATTGCCCATGTCGCACTCGTGAACCGCCGCATGGGGATGGCGCTTGGGAGGCATTCGACGCGGGCAAGAAGTACGAAGCACGTGCCTGTTCTGCAGAGTTGCGAGAACACAAATGCTCAGTTTGCTGGTCTTCAAGCCATTGCTCGTTCACACGCAACTAGCAGAACAGGTTAGGCTAAGTTTTGGGAACCACCCTGACCATGGCACACTGAGGAAATATCCGCATGCTCAACGTGGACCAGAAAGTCCAAGCCACGGTCATGTCGGGGCCCAGCCTTCGTTCCGTGCCCTGCTTTGGGGTCTGTGCCAGGCTGCCAGCGCCCACTGCGGAGATTCCAGTGCAGTACGAGGCAGCACCAGGCCGAGGGGCTGGCTGATCGCGGGCCCAGCCATCCGCCTTGGCTCATGGGATTGGTGTCAAGTTGGCAGATGGCATTTCATCTTTGTACGATCTTGAGACCAGCATGGGTCGCCTTTTGTGATCCAGCAAGGTTTGGACTACTTCTGCAAGATGTGGGATCTTGGACCCACCACAGCGGCCTGGCTGACGCGGCTGCACCCAGAAGTTCAGCAAGCTGTCATCGAGGAGACTCGATATGCAACTGTCTGCCTTGAGCCAACGGGGTTACCGCTTTTGCGGGCAACTGGTATAGTCTTCTTACAAGGGTCTGTTGATAGGAGTACTTGTATGATCCAGGACAATATAATGTAAGAAATGACCAGCCAAGCCATGACGGGTCCAAGCGGTGTTTGCCCACCCTAGATGGAAGCATCAGTGGCAGTATGTGGCAGTGGCAGATGCTAAGTCATTGACATTTGCTGACAACTAAACGCATGTGGACTGTTTTGACATAGTATGCAGGTTTGACACGAATTGGCAATTTGCATCGTGCGCATCTGTACCCGAACCAAAACGTGGCACCATGTTTGCAGTGTATTTGTGTGTGTGTGTGTGTGAGCGTGGCGTTGGCGTTGGCTAGTCCTTCACAGTCATAGGCTTTGCCCAGCTCGTCGAGTACACAACCGTTGCAAGTGTTCGCAATTCATAGCAAGTGGCAAATCTCTGAAATGCTCGTGTTTGTGCGGGCGCAGGTAGCTTGATTGGTTCTAACTAGCTCCAACTCACATGAAGATGCAGAGTTCAATGGATTGTGGCGCAAGCTCAGAACTACGATGACTCGTCTGTGCCAGAGCTGCTCGACCCGGATGAGCAGATCACTCTGCACCCATCCTGCTTTGTGGCAGTAGCCGCTTGATCAGAGTATTGTCACATTCGTCAGTAATTTTGGGACTTTGTTGAGTGGGACTGGCCAAACATTTCGCACCCAAGGACGGCCTCCACCGCAACATCTCACCGGAAGCGTTGTCGACTCTCTTTGGCCGCTTTGGGCAAGTCCAGTCGTGCTCCAGGTGTGGAGCCTTGCTTATGGCGCCTGGGGAGAGATCTCGGATTTTCGAGATGTTCCTGGCACTGTTGTCAAGAAAACCTCGTGATCGTCCTGTGATGGTATGCCATATTTCAGCCCTGGCAGCTGGTAGCTTGCCAACGTGGGCGGGGCGACCCTCGCACCAAGTTACCACGATCCCAGAACTTGTTTGGATTGGATTCTTCCGCGACCGTCTGCAGATGTCCCATGTAAAGCTCAAGGACTGGCTTGCGTCAGGCCAAACTCGGTCAGCGCCATTGTGGAGATGAGCAGCGCAGAGGCACTTGTGACACTTGTGTATCACAGCTTGTGTTGTGAGGGTGTCAGGTGTTTGTTTTGATCACTTGCCTTTGCAAGGCATTTTTGTTCACATCATAGAGCCCGGCATTGTTCATTCAGCTCCACACCACATTGTATACTGCATTATGCACGCCACTTCTTTTGATGTGACAGCGTAAGTCAATCAAGCGATGTTGCTTTCTTGGGATGTCAGGAGGCTAGCGTGGCGGTGCAGGATCTGATCTATCCCCCCCTTGGCTGGCCAGGCTGGCCAGGTCATGTCCCATGCAAGTACTGGGTGCAGAAAAGAAGTTGGGCCGGGATAGGAAGCTCGCTGCTTGCCAGGCGGCATGCTGGTGCACTTCCACCATAAGACGCCTGTGATGCAGCTGGAAGACATGCCACTGGGAACCTTGGCATGAATCAGGGGTGGGGCATTTGCTGTTCTCTGCCCATTCTTTCCAGGGATCCTTCTGATCAGTAAATGGCCCAACCTGGAGAATACGTCCCTGGGTCAGAGATAATGTCATGTCATACAACTGAGCTGCGTACGCTCCTGAGTCTGATTTGCAGGGAGTCAGAGACGTTCACACACGAAGTCCAAACTTTCCCCGGCAAAACAAAGTCAAGTTGCTTTGAATTCAGCTCAGCAGTTGCTTTCGGATTCACCGTGCCAAAAGATACATGTCCCCGGCGATTGCCAGCATTGGCGCGTGCGGCGCTTGTTTGCAAGGCCAACGCCTCTTCGGCATTGTAAAGGCGCGGACTCTTCTCGCTACAAGTTTGGAGAGACGCTGAAAGCCTTCAATCTAGGAAATGACTCGCCGAAAGCAGCTCAATTTAATGTTGAAGTGAGGGCTTGCCATTGCACATGATTGAACCTGCCAGACGTGGAGCGTCATGGGAGCTGGCTACATTGCTCTCCATGGTACAGGCCGGGGTGGCCGAAATGGGTGTCCGAGAATACAGGGCAGGAGGGCAGAGCGCAATGCTGTTAACAGCCTATGGATTCGTTGCTGGTGTCAAAGCATGAGACAGAAGCATGTGGACGCATATTACAGCGATATGAGGAGATAAGACCGGCGTGGAGATCCGCTTAGGGTAGAAAGCGCCAAGCGGCGTCTTCAAGGTTTCCCGCTGTGACCAGTTTGGATGAGTTGGCGATTGCCTGGAGTGAAGCATGTTTCACAGCCAGACAGTTTCATCGGATTCAATTCCAATTGCTCGAAGGTCCCGACCTGCCGGTTACAAAAGACTGCCTGGAAGACGTGACAGCGCTCAGTACAGGCTCACGGGAGAGCGCTTCATTTGATTTGAGGGTTGGCACCAGAGCTGCAGTTCATTCAGGTCTGGCATGCTTGGTGATGAAACATTATTGGATTCCATTCCACGGACTGCCAATTGTGGCTCGAGAACCAAAATGGCTGTCTGTCATTGAACCAAAATGGCTGTGGGCCATGTCACAAAAAGGGGCAGCTGTCGTCGGAAGTGGCCCAGGAAAGGTAGCAACCCCCTTCTGCTGGAAGTGTGTATGTATAATTGACACATTGCGCATGTGGACTTGCACGCGTCTATAATTAGATGTGTACAAGTGCACCAGCCTAGGCCCCAGCTAGCGAAACGCGCGCCAACGATTGCACGCCAGCGCCTCTAACAGCACTGCCTAAAGATCACCTCGACCAACACCCCAAGCAGAATCCCAAAACAGCACCTGCGCAAGAATCAGCACGTCGCGTGCCCCGAGCGCCCTTACCCGACATTTGTGCTGCTGCCGCTGCTGCGGCCTTTGCTTTGGGATTATTTGTGGCACCATTCCTACCATCCACTTCCCGTGAATCAGACATTTTGAGCGTTGGCTGGTACGCGTTTGTGTAGCTGGTCCCTGAATGCATTGCAATGTACATGAAGGCACCAGCGCGACTTGGCGGGTGATCACCTACTCCCCTGTTGCCACCCCTTTTTGGAAGTCATCGGGACGGAACAAGGCTATTGTCCATCCCAAACCGTGCAAAGAGGGTCGCATGGATGTCGAGCAACACCAGGAATCCAACCTCACTGGGTGGCAAATATTGACTTGCAATCTTCCTTGGCACCAAGCTGCACGAGTGGCTTGGCTTTGGAAGGCGCGCCAGTGCTCTTCAAAGCGTGGCAGACGCCGGAGCTGCCCAGTCCAGTGGTCACCCACTGTATGGGCCGGCTGCATACCGCCCGGCGCACGGCCATGTTCGCGCAAGTTGACATGAGATGGGACCCAGCCGGAATCCGCTTTTTGGACGGCCCTTCTGATTTGAAACGTGGTCACACACACCAAAAGCAGCAGGTTGAGCACGAAATGTCAGCCAAAATAAGTTGGAGTTTGAGGCAATCAAAGGCATTGTGACGCAAGATGGAAGCTGTGCCCATGTGCTCACTGCTTCAAGTGTTTCCCCACGGTGGATTGAATACGTTATAAAAAAGGCCACCAGCAAAGCACACATGGGTCACGCTGACTACCGGCGGCGGGCATCGCATCTGCTCGCATTCTAGCGTCGCCTTTGGGTCTTGCGAGGTGAGGGCCCACCTCATCGCCTGCTTCGGCCGCGATTTCGCGGTGAGGAGCTATGCGCGGCAGATGCAGGAGAAGCTCAAGCCCCTTGGACGAGAGGGAGAGATTTGCATTCCTGGCTCATCAAGTTTCCACCTGTGACATGCCATAGCCCTTGGAGTTGCCTTAGTGTTGTTGAATCATTTTGCTGAAGTGGAGAAATGAACAGGTGGGATCGCCACGAGCAGTGCGTTGGAAGGTGTACTCAGCTGACTTGCCCACACCTAAAACTAATTTATTGTGCCAGTGTTGCCCAGTAAATTTGGCCACGCTTGGCTTGTCGTGATTTATTACGCACACTGAGGATGGGCTCTTCAGACATTTGAGACCGCTGCAGTTAAAAAGAAGGTGTGCGGCAGACATACTTCGCCACAGTTGCATGGCCCACAGAGGATGTGCAATGTGGACAGAAGCATGCCCAAGCATGTTGACCACGTCATTCACAGGCGCCAGACTCTCCACATCTCCACATCTCACAGTTTTAGAAATGCAGTTACTGAGGCTCTAACAGCTGTGGGAGGCATCAGTGAATTGGATGAGGCGCCGTGGCTTTGCTTTGCACGGCAGCAAGGGTGGTGCCCAGTCAGATGCGCGGGGTCCCTTTTGATTGCCGATGCCTAATGCTCGCTGGCTCTTGGCTTCACCAAGCTGTGCCAGGAGCATCAAGGTCCTTTGCTGAAGCTTCTGCAGTCAGGCCACATGCGGTGGGGAGTTGAGAAGGCACTAGCCATTCCTGGAAAGCTCGCCCAGATCAGGTTTGCGCTGCTGCACCCTAGACAGCTTAGATCGCTCACATCCCCTTGACCTTGCCATCATCATGGGTTGCACGCGCGCACACGTCAGCGATACAGAAACGTCCGCTGCTTTGTTCCCTGCGCTGATGAGGGCTGGCGGGAAAGGGGGGGGGCCAAGCGGCGCTGCTGCGAGTGTGCAATCTAGCCCTTAGGCCTTTTCTTAGACTGCTTTTGCCTTCTCCCTCAAAGCTGAGTTCATACGTGCGTCGTCTCTTCAAGCCGCCACAGGTGAAGCTCCTGCAGTTCAGCTGAAGCGCATCAAGGCAGACTCCGGTGCCATAGATGCGATCTCCTTTGTCAGGGCAATGCGATCCAAACCCCAACGACATGGGGCTACGATAACTGTATTTTCTTGTTTTGCTTTGACTCTCCAAACTAATGTGAGGTCCAACCTTTGCTTGCAACCGTCACGCTTTCTTTGAAGCACCGATTGTATACAAGACGTAACATGAATTGTTTGTCTTATTTGTTTTGTCCGCCTGTCTGCCCACCTCCCCTTCCACCAATCTGACCATCCACTTTTCCAGTCATCCATCCTCCCACTATCCTCTCACCAACTCATCCATTTGCCCTCTCCTCAGTACCCATCCGAGCATCCAGCCATTCCTTCCGGCGATCCACCTATCGCCCAGCTGCGAGCATCGATTAAGGAATCCCGTCATCCATGCCTGTTCCATCGTGTGTGGCCAGCAGTTACATTTAGCAAATAAGGAGGATCCTTGTAAGCAACCGAAGGCACAGGCCACGGTAGTTGTGCAAGATCAGGGAAGACCTTCAAACGCAGCTTTGTGCCTAAGGATGTTCATCTCCATGTAAGCAACCACCGTGCCAGGCCCAACGGCCTAAGGCCAAAAGCAAGGCCAAGGCCAAGGCGATGGAACGGCCTGTTTGTGGATGCTGCAGTAATCTTGTGACGCCAGTGGCGCATGTTCACAAAATATTGACATTGATTTCAGATGGATCATGAAACATTATGTCCAGTGGGCACCCAGACATGCACCCTGCTACGAGTATGATTGCAACTTAGCCTCAGGGTGAAGGTCTTCTTGACAGCTCATAGGTATTTGCAGCACGAGCAATGTGCTACAGCATAGGACACACTTATGCTACTGTTAAGATGATGCGCAGGACTGTTTGATGTGCTACTCTCTCTCTCTCTCTCTCCCCCTCTTTCTCTCAGCCCTAGAATATCAAGCCCATGAGCTGTTGCTTGTTACATGCTCGCTGTCCATGCCAGCGCTTAACAGCCAGGCCAGCGTCAAAAGCCTCGAAGGCGAGACTGTGGAGGCAGACGTTTGCAGCCAGATCGTTTGCGCATGTTCCCTGCCAATGGTCTAAGTTGTCGGCTGATGACCGTGTAGCTTGCAGTTGGAAAGCTGAATCAGTTGGGACAGAGGCTAGCGAAGAAGACAGGCTTCCTAAGCTTCCTGTGTTGCGTGCTTTGTGGCTGGCTGTCTCCTGTTTTTTTCAGCCTGCATTAGTGCAGCGACTTCCGCCTGAGCTATGGCAAAAGGTTAGCTACCAGTAAGCACAACAGATGGATCTAGAAGCTCAAGCAAGCTGCGCGGCACTGGTTTTAATGGCATTTAGATATCCTCACCATTTGCTTGCGCGTGTAATTTGGAACGACGGAATTGATTACTTTGTTGGGCTCGTGTTTTTTTGAACTAGCACGATTTTGCTCGCATGCCTTGAGCACAAGATGTCTCTGTCAGACCTTCCCTAGATCTTATTCTGTGAATGCCACGTGCTGGTTTGCCTTGTTGCGTGGAAGGCCAAAGGAAAAGAGCAGGAAGCAGTGAAGGCCAGGTCAGCCGCGCTCGCCAGGATGTGCCACAGTCTGGCAATCGGCCAGTAAATGTGTAGGGTGCAAAGGCGCTTCCCTTTGTTGGATGTTCAGCCCTGGAGCTGTGATGGTTGCACTATGCGCGCTCCAGGTCAGGTCGGCTCACTTTTTACGACCACATCGTGTCATGTTTGCTCGATCTCATTGGTTGCAATCTTTGAGTTTGCCTTAGCCGTTTTCTCCTGGGTTGGGATCAAGAGTAGTCAGGTCTGCTTTGTTCTCGGGAGCTTCCTGCTTGTGGCGTGCCAGCTGCGCAAGGGCAAGAGAAGCTTACGCAGTGCTTCAACCACATCAGTGAAAGTGTAGCTGATTTCGAGTCATATGCTTTCTCCGGGGTGGCACGGCAGGACACTTCTTTAATGATTGAACTCGGCAGCACATATGAAGCAACTACTTGCAGTACACTTTTGAGGCTGCGGTGTAAGGCAGGCCATTCTGGTTCAGATACGAACAATTGTTCAGGCCACAAGCAATGTCGAGCCTGCGGTGCAAAGAGAAGCTCCGTTGCGCAGCCCAGAATGATCAAGGGTTAATTTTGCAAATTGACAGCTTGGGTGTCATGAGCTTTAGTTTCCATGAAGGGCGCAAAGGCCCCCGGCTGTTGTTGCATGTCATTGGCGTGCATCAAATCTCATGATTCTAAGGATACCAACAAGACCGCTGGCAGTGCAGGCTGCTCAGAAAGCCAGATCAGACCTAGGAAAAGAGCGGCTAAGGGACGAAATCAGATTGAGGTTCGAACAGCAGTGGATGTGACATTCTAAGTGAAATATCCTTGCCACTTCGCACCACACGCATCCCAAGGCCAGGACGAGTTGCACTTGACCTGGATGACTGAGAGCAAAGTGCAGACTCGCGCGACTCGGAGAAGGGTGTTGAAAGGAATTTGTATTGACAGTTCGAGATGGCCCTTCCCTTGTGTTGGTTTGGCATAATGCGTTCCAGAGTGACGTAGCGAGCTTGTGCATGCTCATGTGTGTCTACGTGAACGCAGCTTCTGTGCCCAACCGGGGGCACTTCGGAAGGTTGTGATTTGCAGAGTGTGTTACCAACGCCTTGACAGAACGTCCATTCAAGACAAAGCATGCGTTTATGTCAGCATCCGACTTTGCAGGAAGCTCATTCAGAAACTGAATTGTTCATTTCATTGTTTCAAAACATCGTTCCTTTATCAACTTCAAAATCTGCAGAAGTTTGCGCTAGAGATGATCCTGGGAGGCTCGTTGAAGCTGAAGCCATGAGGGCAAGCGAATGCCTTTGACCTCCCGGCTTGCTTGGCGGCACAACAATGCCTGGGGCCTAGGGTAAAGTTTGAGGGCATCGGGTGTCGCAGATCGCCGCGGCAATGGCTTTCCTCCCACCTCCTCCCGCTGTGCCAACAAGCAACACGAAAGATAGTGCGGAATGCATAAAGGACTCAATCCTCCCCACTAACAAAATCGACACCTGCTTGATCAATGAGTCCCTTTCGAGCGTGAATGCTCCATCCCGTCCGTCATCCTGGAGTCGCGAGGCCCTGGTTTGCTTGCCCCAGCTGCGACAAGCGCTGCCGCGACTTTGCGGAACTTGAGCGGCACTTCCAGTCCAGCGCTTGTCCTGCGGAATCCAGGGCAAAATGCCAACAGGAGCGCTTGTGTGCATGCCAGTGTGTTTGAGGGTAGCCTTTTTGGTTCGGCGCAAACGGAGAATGTGTAGTCATGCGGCTCTCGAGGCCTGTTTACCTGCTTGCTTGCTTTTTCTAGCGTGCGTAGTGAAGTGCCTCTTTCATCGATTGCCAGGGAATCTTACGACCATCACTGTTGGGACGCATGGTCACCTGACTGCTTGAGTCGGGTGCGTTGTTGTGCCAGCATCATTCAGTCGTGCAAGCTGATTGCCGCGCCTGCTGGATTGCAATTATGCAGGATATTTACGCATGTCCAACGTGCTACAACACCTTCGTGGGGATGGATGACTGGAACAGATGCTTGGCTTTGATAAGCTTCGAAGAAGCAGCGCAGTGCTTGTCACAGCTGCGAACGCAGACTTAGGCCACCAGTGGTCGAAGACCTGCCCGCCTGCATCCGCGAGCCGCGCCTTTCAGCTGGCGATGCTGCTTCCCGCACAGAAGCTGAAAGAGGCGAGCTCGTTCCTTGCCCCAGTTGAGCAATCCATAATTTCCGCAAGATTCGTATGTGGAGTCATCCCGTCATTCAATTTGGTGGAGGGTACAACTAAGGACCCACTAGTTGGACACCCCCACGAAGACGTGAGGAATCTCCCACGTTCTCTGATGTGTGTTCCTCTGGTCTTGGTGGAGAGCGGCATTAGTCAAGCTCCATCCCTCCAACTTTCAATCATTTCCGCTTGGGGTGTCCAAATGAAACATGTCGTGAACCGTGCCAGGCTCGCATTGGGAAGCGGCAGGAGGCCTCTGCCTTCCGGCAACCTACTGCCAAGTGTGCCAAGTTTGCAAGTTTCCAGTGTGCCAAGTGTGGTAAGCTCTCAAAGAGAAGCGGCGCCCGGATTTAATCCCCCCGAGCTCTCAGCTCTTAGGTGCCCAGAAGCCCATCGCTCCGAAGGCTATGCCTCGCTCCTGGGAAGCATTCGAGTGGTATTTCTGGCGCCCATGAGCCTTGTGTGGGCATGTCATGACAGCTTCTTGCTCTAGGCGGCCCCGTGAAGAGGAAGCCGGAGGCATCGCAGGGTTCTGTCGTGTGTTCTTTGTTTATTCGTTTTTGGCTTTGGTGGTGTGTTTTACTTGCGCTTTGCTTTGGTGGCTTCTTGGCTCCCAGGTTCCTGTCGTTTTGGCTCCTTGGCTTTTTAGCTTCTTGGCTTTATGGCTTCTCAGCTTCTTAGCTTGTAAATTAATCTTTGAGAAACACCACACAACTTTCATGGCAGGCACCCAAAACCCATCCTAAGCCAATCCCTAAGCCTAGGACATGCCGAAACCCACAAAAGCAACCTTGACGCAAAACAAAACATGTTCGCCAAGGCTCGCCCTGAAACCCGACGCGATCGTAAGCCCACGTGATGCTGGTGATTGGCGATGCTGAGTGTGTTTATTAGAAAAAAATAAAGCGCAGCATTGAGCATTGTGGTGCCCTGGAGCAAAAAATAAAACCCAGACGTATGTGATGCGATGCTGAAAGCCGTAAACCCACGTGTTGCTGGTGATCCTTGGCGATGCTGAAAACTGTACCCACAGCGCTTGCGATGATGCTGGTGCTGATAGTGCTGGTGTGCAACAGTTAGACAAAGGCTGGAAAGCACAGCTTTCTAGAACCTAGGCACTCCGAAGGCGAAGGGGAAAATGGCAAAGTGGTGGCTTTCTTGGATTCTCCTGAACACAGAGTCAAGTCTTTGACTGATGGCATGCTCCGTATGCCAGATTTGGAGAGGATGGAAATCATCACGTTTAACTTTTGGTGCTTTGTTGCAAGTGTACGTCATCGAGCGGTGGCAATCAGGAACAGTTACTTACCGACCAAGGCTTTCTAGCAAGGATTGCAGGAGCCATGACCCTCTTGGCCACAGCTGATAGTCGATATGCCGGCCCGCAGGTGCCAGAAGGATCCAAGGCGAAGGTGGCTATGAAAACGGCTGCGACCTCAGGCCAAATAGTGGCCATGACGCAGATGGCAAATGGGGGGCCGGCAGCATTCTCCGCTATACGACATGCATTTTTCGCGACGACCTACAGGCCTCTTTCTACTCCGACACTACCGTACTCATCCTGCACTAGTACTACTCCTCCTCCTCCTCCTACTCTTCCTACGTCCTACCAGCAAAGCACGCAGGGCTGGGAGGGAAGCTTCAGTCATTTAGGAGTTGTAGTTTTTGTGTTTTTTTTTTTTTTTTTTTTTTTTTTTTTTATCTTTCTCGTCCTCTTCCTTCTCTTTTTTCTCTTTCTCTTATTTCGTTTTATTTGTCTCTTTCTCTTTTTGTTGTCCTTTCTTTTTTCGTTCTTTCTCTTTCTCTTCTTATTTCTCTGCTTTTTCTTGTCTTTGTTTGTCTCGTTTTTCTTTGTCTCTTCTTGCTCTTCTTTCTTTCTTTCTTTGTCTCTCTCTCTCTCTCTCTCTCCGACTCTCAAAATGTATGGTTCTCCTTCTCTTTCCCTCGCTCTCTCTCCCTCTCTCGCTCTCTTTCCTTCTCCATGTTTTTCTCTTTCTCTTTATTTGTTCTCGCTATCTGTATCTTCTCCTTCTTCTAGGCCTTCTCCTTCTCTTTCTCTCTCTCTCCCTCGCTCTCTTTCCTTCTCCATGTTTTTCTCTTTCTCTTTATTTGTTCTCGCTATCTGTATCTTCTCCTTCTTCTAGGCCTTCTCACCTTCTCTTTCTCTCTCTCTCTCTCTCGCTCTCTTTCCTTCTCCATGTTTTTCTCTTTCTCTTTATTTGTTCTCGCTATCTGTATCTTCGCCTTCTTCTAGGCCTTCTCCTTCTCTTTCTCTCTCTCTCTCTCTCTCTCTCTCGCTCTCTTTCCTTCTCCATGTTTTTCTCTTTCTCTTTATTTGTTCTCGCTATCTGTATCTTCTCCTTCTTCTAGGCCTTCTCCTTCTCTTTCTCTCTCTCTCTCTCTCTCGCTCTCTTTCCTTCTCCATGTTTTTCTCTTTCTCTTTATTTGTTCTCGCTATCTGTATCTTCTCCTTCTTCTAGGCCTTCTCACCTTCTCTTTCTCTCCCTCACTCTCGCCTTCTCACTCTTCTCTGTATCTTCTCCTTCTTCTACTCTCGCTCTCTTTCCTTCTCCATCTTTTTCTTTCTCTTTCTTCTCGCTATTCTTATCTTCTCTTCTCTATCTCTTTCTCTTCTCTCTCTCTCTCTTTCTCTTTCCTTCTCTGTTTTGTTCTTCTCTCTATCTGTATCTTCTCCTTCTTCTATCTTCTCTTCTCCTTCTCTTTTCTCTCTCTCTCTCTCTCGCTCTCTTTCCTTCTCCATGTTTTTCTCTTTCTCTTTATTTGTTCTCGCTATCTGTATCTTCTCCTTCTTCTAGGCCTTCTCCTTCTCTTTCTCTCTCTCTCTCTCTCGCTCTCTTTCCTTCTCCATGTTTTTCTCTTTCTCTTTATTTGTTCTCGCTATCTGTATCTTCTCCTTCTTCTAGGCCTTCTCCTTCTCTTTCTCTCTCTCTCTCTCTCGCTCTCTTTCCTTCTCCATGTTTTTCTCTTTCTCTTTATTTGTTCTCGCTATCTGTATCTTCTCCTTCTTCTAGGCCTTCTCCTTCTCTTTCTCTCTCTCTCTCTCTCTCTCTCTCGCTCTCTTTCCTTCTCCATGTTTTTCTCTGTCTCTTTATTTGTTCTCGCTATCTGTATCTTCTCCTTCTTCTAGGCCTTCTCCTTCTCTTTCTCTCTCTCTCTCTCTCTCGCTCTCTTTCCTTCTCCATGTTTTTCTCTTTCTCTTTATTTGTTCTCGCTATCTGTATCTTCTCCTTCTTCTAGGCCTTCTCCTTCTCTTTCTCTCTCTCTCTCGCTCTCTTTCCTTCTCCATGTTTTTCTCTTTCTCTTTATTTGTTCTGGCTATCTGTATCTTCTCCTTCTTCTAGGCCTTTCTTCTCTTTCTCTCTCTCTCTCTCTCTCTCTCGCTCTCTTTCCTTCTCCATGTTTTTCTCTGTCTCTTTATTTGTTCTCGCTATCTGTATCTTCTCCTTCTTCTAGGCCTTCTCCTTCTCTTTCTCTCTCTCTCTCTCTCGCTCTCTTTCCTTCTCCATGTTTTTCTCTTTCTCTTTATTTGTTCTCGCTATCTGTATCTTCTCCTTCTTCTAGGCCTTTCTCTCTTCTCTCTCTCTCTCTCGCTCTCTTTCCTTCTCCATGTTTTTCTCTTTCTCTTTATTTGTTCTCGCTATCTGTATCTTCTCCTTCTTCTAGGCCTTCTCCTTCTCTCTCTCTCTCTCTCTCTCTCGCTCTCTTTCCTTCTCCATGTTTTTCTCTTTCTCTTTATTTGTTCTCGCTATCTGTATCTTCTCCTTCTTCTAGGCCTTCTCCTTCTCTTCTCTCTCTCTCTCTCTCTCGCTCTCTTTCCTTCTCCATGTTTTTCTCTTTCTCTTTATTTGTTCTCGCTATCTGTATCTTCTCCTTCTTCTAGGCCTTCTCCTTCTCTTTCTCTCTCTCTCTCTCTCGCTCTCTTTCCTTCTCCATGTTTTTCTCTTTCTCTTTATTTGTTCTCGCTATCTGTATCTTCTCCTTCTTCTAGGCCTTCTCCTTCTCTCTCTCTCTCTCTCTCTCTCTCTCGCTCTCTTTCCTTCTCCATGTTTTTCTCTTTCTCTTTATTTGTTCTCGCTATCTGTATCTTCTCCTTCTTCTAGGCCTTCTCCTTCTCTTTCTCTCTCTCTCTCTCTCTCTCTTTCCTCTCGCTCTCTTTCCTTCTCCATGTTTTTCTCTTTCTCTTTATTTGTTCTCGCTATCTGTATCTTCTCCTTCTTCTAGGCCTTCTCCTTCTCTTTCTCTCTCTCTCTCTCTCGCTCTCTTTCCTTCTCCATGTTTTTCTCTTTCTCTTTATTTGTTCTCGCTATCTGTATCTTCTCCTTCTTCTAGGCCTTCTCCTTCTCTTTCTCTCTCTCTCTCTCGCTCTCTCTGTCTTTCTTGTGTTCCTTCACTTTCTATTTCTCTTCTCTTTTTCTGTTTCTTTCTTGTCCTCTCCTTCTCCTTTCCTCCTTCTCCTCTTCCTCCTTTTGCCCTTTTGAAGCCACGCTTCACTGTCACCCACACCCTGGGATTGCTGACTGATCACGTGACTTGAGAATGGCCCTGCCCTAGCTTCAAGGACCAAACGTGTTCGTTGCGTGGCCTAGGCGCCTTGGCGCCAGCCCGACAGCCCCGAACCAGACATTGCAGAGACGCCTGCAGAGACGCCTGCAGCGACGCCTGCAGCGACGCCTGCAGCGACGCCTGCAGCGACGCCTGCAGCGACACCTGCTGCATTTGCATCAGCGGCTCGGCTTTTTTACACTGGTGCAGCCCAACTGCTGGCACTTTGCAATGCGACTATGCTAACTTTATGTGTCTTTAGCATCAGGCAACCTGGCACAAGCCGGCCAGCGCCGCAACTTGGCACGCACCTGCGGGCTTCCGCAGGGTTCTGAGGGCGTGCGTGTTTATCGTTACTGACAAGATTTGGGAAAAAGTCCAAAGCGCATGGCCCAGGCACCTGAGCCGCAAAAGACGCGCAGCTGTCCCAAGGCTACTTAGCAAATTGAGGAGACTTTCCTTCGCAGCTACGAGATTTGATGCTATGGGGCCACCATCGTACTAAGGAGAAGTTGAATGAGCAGCAGCAGCGCTGCTATGAATGGCTCAGGACCATTGGTGAGGGAGAGGCCAAACCGGCTTGTTTATACCAAATGCATGATTGTACAAAGTTTGTTAGTACAAACAATCACGGATGCATCACGAGCGCCAGGTGTTGCTTGAATATTGGGAGGGTCTTCACACGCAGTTTGATGGCGACTTGGACCAAGTGGCGCTTGCCAAGCTGTCGTCGCCAGCAACTCAGTATGCTCCTCGGCAAGCAGCACTCTTTCCTGACCTCCCGGCATGCTATGTTGCTTCACTTGACTGGCTCTCCGCCTTCGTTTTCTGCATCAGTCCTGTCCTGTATCGATTTTCCAATCGGGAGGCTTCTGACCTGGTCGAGCCGCTCTTCTTCAGCGCCCTTGGTGTGGAGAAGCTGGGCCACAAGCTCCTGCTTGCACAAGCAATGAAAGCCTTGTGACAAAAGGCCGTGCCATGTGTGTTTGTGTGCGTATGCGTTAGCCTTTCTTGCAGAAGGCCCTCGCTGCATCATGAGGAATGAGGAGAGTTTGCAGATCGCACAGCAACGCGCCTGTATTAGGAAGATAAACCTTGCATTGAGCCCGTCCTATCATTGGGTCATTCCTGAAAGGCGAGATTGAGCTGCATGTCCTTGCAGGGTAAGGGACGCATTGGAGGGTGCAACGCATAGCGTCGCAGTCCTCCTCAATCAGCGCTTGATTGTTTCATGTGCCATGGCCACACATGTTTGTTTTTGCCGCAGGATTTTGGCAAGCCAGCCTTTGAGTCGAGGTTGAGTTCCCCATTTCTTTTCGGCAAAGATGATGCAAATGGCTAGCGCGGTGGGAGGCACGGATGCTATGAAGAAGCAGATCGAAGATCAGCTTGCAGAGAAGGCTCCTGCGAGCATCAAGCCCTTCTTCCCCTGCTGCGGCGGCCCAGTCGCCACCACGGAGAAGTGCATGTGCATGGTGCCAGCGGATCAGCAAGAACAGGCAGGCTTTCCGAATGGGTTCCGGCCTGCAATTCTTTCACCGGTTTGCTTACGGGGGTGTCGGTTTGACTCAGAAACCTTTGAAATCGGGTCTGATCAACACTCATCATGTCGGCTCGCAAGTCTCCAGGTGAAGTCTGCCATCGAGAAATACAAGTCCTTCTGAAGCCTTCTGATTTTGGCAGCGTGCTGCGCGCCACTCCGCATGAAACTGTGGAGATCTGTGGAGTGTTTTCGCGTTCTTGCGACACTTTGGTTGAGCTCTAGATCAAGCAGCGGCTGGCGGCAACCGCGCAGCTCTACTTGGTTCTTTCAGGGCATACTTGCACACTTTATACAAGCCGAGAATGAAAAGTGTTTCGATCAGGGTGCAGATTTTGTCGGACCAGTTCAGCACGCGACATTGTTCAAAGGCATCCCGGCGCCTGTTTCGGCCTTGTTTTCGGATTGCAATCTTGTCTTGGGCAATCGGCAACGTGTGGGAGAGAGACACAGTTGAGAAAGAGATGGGACGGCCAGAACGTTGTTGCTCGGTCACTTCTGATCTGCAGTGTAGGTGCAAGTCCACAGTTGTTGCAGTTGAGGGAGCAGCCACCGCAAATAGCAAGGCTCTCTACTTGCGACCTGCCAGGGACAGACACGATCTCATCGGCAAGGCGTACTTGTAATTACTAGCAGTTACTAGCAGGCGCAACGCCAGGCTCAAGATTCGGACAGTATCCCGTGGGCAAGCGCTTGCACGCCAATGTGGCAGGCCTGTGCTTAAGAGAGAGGATTCCTCAGCACTTATCGGACTGTTGCAAGCCCACTGGAAGAAAGGCCTTAGGTGAAAGGATATACGGAGAGTTTGGCTTTGAACACAACCACACAAGAGTCCAAGTTGCCAAGCATTTTGGAAACCTGAAGATATGGTATCGTCGTCAGGTTGTTGCGGTGCTACTTCTCACCGCCTGCTTTGCACGATGCCTATTCCGGTGCCTCCAGCCCGAGGACTGCTCGCTAGTGGGTTTTGTGCTTTGTGCTAGCCCGAGGCCCGAGACATCTCAAATCACTAGGGCGAAACAAGGCAAACGACATGGAGTTTCAGCATCCACACACACACACACAAGCACGTTTGAATTGCTGATGTCGCATGCGGAACTGACCATGTCAGCAACTTTGGTTCTTTTATCTGAGGGTTATTGTATTACACCCTGGGAATACACCCACTGGGTATTGACCCCATTTAGGCACATTTCCGGATAAACTCGTGTTACTTTGAACCATTCTGGGTCATTTCCCAAGTCTTAGGGTGTAATACAAAAACCCTCAGATTTTAGCACTGAACTGAATCTCTCAGAATTGTTATTCGGTTCTGGTGGATTCGGTTCCTAGGATTGTGTCGGTTCTGGCCCCCATAGACTTTCGATTCCCACCCCTGAAGGCCGCCGCATTTTCCTGACACTAGCTACCATTCATTCCCCTTCCGTACCACGATCTATACATGTGTAATACATAGTTCTGTAATGTATGTATATATAATTTATATACATATGTTTCAGAACCGTTTCAGACGTTGCTCAGACCACGTTATAGCGGGTGCTTTTCCCACAGCCAGTGTGGGGCATGGAAGTGGTTCTCGGCCCATTTCAAAAAATCCAAAGCAGACGGCCACAGTCAGCATGAGGTGCGACGGCGTGCCCCCCTTCAAAGCTGTCAGGGGCTCCAAAACAGCATGGCACATCCGGAGAAGTGCGCTTGGAGCGCGCCGGCTCGGGCTGCCCGGAAATGTTCGCAAACAAGCATTCCAAGCCCCTTTTCTTGCTGTACCTGATTTGGGGGGGGCTCTCCAAAAAGGGTCTGAACCAGGTCTGGGCCAGGTCTGAAACCAATCTGAAAGTCCCTGCGCGGGGGGTTCTTTCACACTTGGTTCTTACTGCGTTTTAAGAGCTTCTCAAGGCAGGCGAACAGGAAGGCGCACCAGCGATTGCTTTTCAGACTTGCGCGGGCAGGTTTTTTCCTGTGTAAAGGTCGCAGGGGGCCAAAAACGCACCTGCCCCTGAAACCAGGCAACCTTGACTCATCCATCCTTGAAATTTCCTTGTATTTTCCCGGGGTGGGATTTTGAATGGACCTCATATATACCTCAGGCCCATTGCCAAATTGGGTTGAGGAGTTGACGCGCTCCAAGTTGTTTCCGACTTTTTTCCGGACTTTTCCGGACGTGCCATGCTGTTTGGAGCCCGTGACAGCTCGGATTCTGGGGGCACGCGTCACGCGTCCCATCTCACGCTGCGAGGCCCGCTAGCAACCCCTCTTTTCCAAAATTCGCTGGAAGGAAGAGCTTTAACTGATTTGGTCTGACCAGGAGGAAGGGAAGAGCGTGGACTTTTCTCAAGGCCAATCTGAAACACTGGACACGACTCCCGCCAACCTTTTCGCCCCACACAGGAAAAAAGCTGGCCCATCTTCCTGTTCGCCTGGTAAGAACCAAGTCCGGAAGAACCCCCCCCCCCCCCGCAGGGAAGTGTCAGGGTTGCTGCCGGTTGTCCGACAATGTCTGAAACTCAAGCAAAAAAACGCCGGGAGTGGTCCCGGAAAAATGGAAGAAGTTCCGGGATGGGAAGGAGGATTTCTTCGGAGGGGAAGGGCGTGGGATAGGATAGGAAAAAGGTTGCAGAGAGGCCTCTTGGCCGCCATCAACGTCCTTTTGGAACATTTGGCCATGTCCGACCTCCGCCATTTTTCACGATGTTTCCAAAGTCCCATGGGGGCATGTGCCAGCAGGCAGTTTCCAAGGCCATGTCAATCTCAGTCATAAAAGTGTAGAACGTTCCCGACTCAAGAAAGATTCGGTTCTTGCCTTGGTCGACTCTTAGCGTCAGCTTCCGTGTAACGCTTCGGTTCTGCACTGTTCGGTCCCGGGGCGGCTCGAAGAATTCGATTCGGAAAGGGCTTCGATTCCGGTTCTTGATTCGGGTTTGGCTTTGAACACAACCACACAAAAGCAGTCCAGGTTTCCAGACTGCTCGCTAGTGGGTTTTGGGCTTTGTGCCAGCCCGAGACATCTCAAATCATTAGGGCGAAGCAAAGCAAAAAACGTGGAGTTTCAGCAGCCAAACGCGAACGCGCGCACACACACGCGCGCGCACGCGCACGCACACGCGCACACGCGCACACACACACACACAGACACAAGGACACACAGACACACAGACGCACAGACACACACACAAACACAAGCACAGACACAGACACAAACACAAACACAAACAATCACAAACACAAACACAAACACAAACACACACACACACACACACAGTTGGGAATCATTGCATGCGCAATTGACCATGTCAGCAAAGAGATGTGCAGAAAGGCAGCGCTTGCAGCGCAACATCTTTGTTGCAGAGTGAGTGCTATGCTGGATCAGGACCCGAAGCCAATCCCAGAACAGAAAACTGAAGTGCACAAACCTCAAGAACTCCAAGCCCAAGAGACCACGCCCTATGACGCAGTGCTTGCGTTGGAGTCCTTGGGCGATTTTCTGCACACTGGCCACATCAAGTTTCTGCAAAAGGCCGAGTCCACATTTAAGGCATCGGCTGAAGAGCGGTACAAAATCGTGTCCATCGTGGGATTCCCAGCTCATTGGTCTGGGAACAAGCGTTCCGCAACATTTCAACTCATATGTTTGTTTGTTTCTGTCCCTAGCATTTAGAGGGCATAGAGAGGTACCAAACAGAACATCACCCAAAGCCAAGGACTCTTCGACAAGGGGAAAACCTGGCTGACGAACCGGATGCTGGGAACGAAGTTGCCCAATGGGAAGCTATGCACGACAAGAGGTCTCAGCTTTCTTTGGGTGGAAGATCGTCGCATGCTGGTATTGGACAGCGCCGGTGTTCAAGCGACGGTCTCATACCGCTCGGACCGCGCACAAACCGTTCAACCAATCCTAGATGCTCGTGCAACGGAGTCTTTGGTGTTTGACATGATTTCCCGCATCTCCCACCACATGATCTTTGTGGTGAACGACTTCACCTGGTTCGAGCAGGAATATGTGGAGATGCTGCACCAAAAGTACGTGCAGGGCCACCACAACAAGGAGCTGATTGTGGTGCACAACCTGCGCATGACTTCGGAGGTGGAGGAAGCTCGGGAGCTCTTTTTCCGCCAGATCAAGTCCTGCTATGAGGGTGGGGTCTCTCACATCAACGAGCTCATCTTCACGGCGGATGCGGGTGAAGGCATCCCACCTGTCCACCACATTGCATTGTGCAAGCACGGGTCAAAAGCAGGTAACAAATACAACCAGGAGCTTCTTGGCTGTTGAGTTTTGCAGCGCGCGCCATGTGATACATTTGACACGGATGAGTGAAATGGGTTTGGAGCCAGTCTAAATTGGCTGTTAGTTTCGTCTTGAATGATCTTGAATCTCCTTTGTTCAAAGGAAGCCAGAACAGGAACAAGTCCAGGTTGGTTTTTTCGTTTAAAGAAACAAAACAAGGAAAGAAAGGAGTCGGACAAATGGGTTTGAGCCAGAAGACGAAATTCCACACACCAGCAGGTTATGTTTTGTTTGGCTCTCGGGGTGCCTGCTGCTCGTGCTTGTAAGTTCAGCAACCTTCCTTGAGGTGTTCCCAAGACCGGGTTCCAGTTGCAAGGAACCTCAAGTTGGCACGAAGTTGGGGAATCACATAAATGAATAAGATGGATGGATACACGTTTCGGCGTCGATTCAATGTCAAAGTCGGACTTGCCATGCGCATAAAAAGCACTGCTCAATCTTCGGACACACGTTTCGGGTGTAAAACTTGCAGCGCTTGTCCGCGCGCAGCCGTGATATGGGTACCCATATGGGGCTTCTTTTTCCAAAGGCTCAAGCGCAAATTTCTCTTCTTCGGCTTGGCGGGAAGGGGAAATGCTGGGGCCCCCTCCCCACGGCTGGTTGCCCTAAAAAGGGTGCAACTGCATGTTTACACGACAAAACGTGCATGAGGCTTCATGGGGGCTAGCCTTGTGCCAGGGCCAAAAACATATTTTTTAGGGTCCTTTATGGAAGCCTTTCCCAAGCTGTTTGGGGTCAATCAGAATCAGCTTAGCTGTATTTAGGGTCTGGTGTTATTTGGTGCATCAGGTTTCATAGGGTAGCCCTGATGACAGGATCAAGGGCGATTCTTGAAGGTTCTAAAATAATGAATTTAATGAAGGAGGTGGAATCCCATGTGCATCCAGGGTGATGCCATTGTTTTGTTGAACGCAGGTCTGGTTACACTCCATGAAAACCTAATGGGAAACAGGGCTGAAGAACAATGAGCCAAAGCTAGTCAAAATCCATTCAGAGAATCAGCGTGAACGGGAGTTCATCATGCTTTTTGTCAGCGGAGGAATGTGAAGTTCATTTGATATTTTTGATAGTTGTTCAAGAAATTTGTTCCACCAGGTTTGTTTGCTTGGGTGAAAAAGAGCGGTAGTTTATTCTTGCATTTCGGAAAAGTAGCTTAGTTTGGGGGGTAGTTGATTGTTTGTAAGTGGACATGTGTATATATGTATATACATAGACATAACCCTAAGACGTTGAACAACTCTCACGGCCACCAAAAAAGGAAGTCGCATAGAACCTAAGAAACAATCCATCGCATCCAATCAACCCAGTCCAGCCAATCGCAGCAGCTCGCCGGCTCGGGCCAAACGGCGAAACGTTTGAAGTCGGACCGTCGGACCCTTCAATTTGTATTTCCATATTTTCCTTTCCCTGCCTTTCAGGGGGGCTCCTGTACCCAAGGAATTGCCGTGATTTGGCCGTGTTTTGTAAGAGACCAAGGAACTGCAAGTATTTGATGCAGCAGCTGGAGCACCGGCACACCTTGGGCTCCAAGGTGATCCTCACGGAACTGCTGCGCTCAGAGCTTGCGCGCTTGGTGCCCAAGTTCGCGCTGCTGGAGCTGGCGCCGGAGAGCCAGCCGGCTCCGCCGTCCTCCTTGACGGTGGCCTATACGGACTTGACGCAGAGCCCGACGGACTTCAAGGGAGGGCCGGATGCAGGGCGGGCCTGGTCAGGCGAGGGGCGTTTGAGTTGTATTTGGTGGTGACGAGGCACTAGCCACACGCATCAATGCATCCGAGGAAACGGATTCAACACATCATGCGCTCCTAATGTCAGGTGCCTATTCCACAGTCGGGGAGATGGTGCTGCAGCTTCCGGGGCACGGGGCCAAAGTGATGCTGAAGACCAAGGGTGTGATCTCGCCGCTGGGGGAAATCATTGCCCACGATGTCAGCTTCGACCCCATCGTCAACATGTTCGACAAGACCACGGAGCTTGGGGTGGAGCGTTACATCCGTGTGGAGTGCCCTGATGTGGACGAGGCCGACATTGAGTGGGAGGAGAATATTTGCGCAAGTGTGGTCGAGCAAAAAAAACAACTACCTCGAGTTTACCGGGAAGCAATGGCAAGATTAGTCATGAATAGCTCCTGTTTCGGTATGTTTGAGGAGTTGTCGAACGGGGTACGCATTGTCATCCACAAGCAGAAGTCCATCGATGAGGCCGCTGTGCAGCCCTTGCAGTCCTTTCCCATTCTGCAGCATCACGGCAGATGGGAGAAGAATTTCAATTTTGACCATGCCGATGGGCGGTTTGATTTGTTCAGCCCCAACGGGGAGCCGTACGGGTTCGACGTGCAGCGGGGCGTGCTAGTGGTGAAGCTGGTCAAGTCCTTTCATGCACGCAGGGGCAAGCTCTGTGGCAAGAAAGAGATCCTTCCGTGTGCTTCCAGCATGCTGGTTCTGAATCAGGTGCCAGCTCGACCTCCGTCGCCATCTGTTGCATCTGAGATAAGCTTGGCGAGTTCTCATTGGGTGCCTGCTTGACGTCATAGAGTCATACAGGCTTGCACAGTTTGCTGTCTGGGTGATACAGAGGCGCTCAGAAACTCAGCTCTCTAGTAGGGAGCAATGCCAGACATTCGGCCTGGGCAAAAAGAACATGCTTTAGCATGCTGAATGACTAGATATCTGACAGATCATCAAAATTGCCCAAGCAAAATTGGGCTTCCACTAGCTGGGCTGCGGGGAAAACAAAAATGACAGCTACAAACCCAAACGTCATTTTTTGCCGGCGACTATGTTTTAAAAATGTATTGGCCCTAATACTTTGTGGCTTTCTAGTGTGGATTGGTGGGTTTTTATGTTTATATATAAATAATGTTTTTGCAAAATAATATATTTTCTCATTATTATAAATTTATATAATTTCTTTAATTTTAATTAATTCTTAATTGAAAATAATATTAATACAATTAATTAAATCTATTATATTAATTTTAAAATTATTAAAGCTTATTTTATTTAAGTTTTTTTTTTTTTTTCTTGGAGATTAATAGGGAATTTATTAAAAACGATACTCCTTTGAATATGGTTTGTGAATATAATGTATGATATATGTATTTATGTTTTAAATGTTATTTTGTTTGTAAATAATTTGGAGCGTTGAGCGAAATGAGTGATTGATAGGATTATTGTAAGGCAGAGAAGATTATTATATATTTGTTTAGTTTTAATAATTTATAGCAAAATAAGGGCCGGCGGGGGTAATGACATCTTATATTGCTTGATATCTTGAACCAAATTAATGGAAGAAAATATATTACTATATAGGTGGCGCTAAACCTTGTATATTTAGACCCCGAATTGACGGAGATTGTTTTACGTAACATCGAGCGTGGGACCAAACACAAGGTGATCCGCTCGGAAATTAAGGTCGGGGATATGATTAGGATTTAATGAGATAATCTGGAGCAAAAAGGTATATAGGGTAGCCTCCGCCGAGAGCGAGGAGATGGGGGCGAGGTTTGGCTTGGAGGGGTGGTCGGAAAAGGTGGTGCATAGGGATCTCCTAAAAATCCCCGAAATGGGGGTTGGAGATGTATTCCCGTTAACGGAGGTTACAGAGAAACCCATCTCCCTTTTGAGATTCTATTCTCTATGCCTTTTCTTTTCTACTTCTCCGACAACTTCGGGGGTTACTAGTAATAAGGAAAGGGGGCTTATTGCACCCTAATTATTTGGATTTTTGGTCCAAGAACCCTACAAAACAATCGAATTCTCCATCCAGCTGAACGTTCTTCCGATGTCACCGGTCTTCGTCACCGCTCCGTTTTTGGTGCAAAAAGCGCTCAAAACGGCCAAAATAATAAGGAAAGGGGGCTTATACCAACTAATTAATTTTCGTTTTTTGGTCCAAAAACCCTGCAAAACTTCATAATTTTCAGCCAGCTGAACTCGTCACCAGCGATATCACCGCTTCGTCACCGCTCCGTTTTACTCAAAGGAGAGGGAAACACAGTTTTGTCAACAACGGGGGAACCCGGGACCTTAAAAGGAACGAACCCCTCCGTGACTGCGACCTCTCCCTTAACCTTGTGGGGCTAGCGCGAGCAACGCGCTGTTTTCAGCACTTGAGCCAAAGCAGTGATTGATCATGCTTTGGCAATGACTTGAATGTACAACATGCAACTGACTACATGGGGACCTACCTCATGTACCTCTGGGCCATAAATGTCATCGTGATAATTGACTCCCCCCTCATTGACGGCACTGAGGGAGTGTCTTGGGCGCATTACCACGCCAACTTGAAGTCAAGTTTACATCACAACGACTGACACAAGTTATTCAAGCATCACCCAGGCACTTTGCACACTTTGGGAAATTTTGCGGACATGCTGCAGCGCACTAGGCAGCTGCTTTAGCGGCTCTACTCTCACGAACGTCTTCAAGCTTCTCTGGAAGGTCAACACGAATGCCGAGCAACCGGATGGCATGGTCCCACTTGTTGGGTGGAAGTGCTTTCGTGAAGATGTCCGCTGACTGCATGTCGGTTTGGACGTATTCTATCGAGATGTGTTCGCTTTCAAGCTGCTCTGCGATGCACGCGAGGTTCACCTTGTGTGTTCGCTGGACACAGCGTAGCTTGGATGAGAAACCTTTCCTTGCTACGAGGATAGTCGCCTGATTGTCCTCGTGGATCTTGAGATGGAATGGTCGGTCCAAGATCAGCTCCCACAAGCTAAGCGCAGGGAGCGCCTCCTGATAAAGGGAGTATGCGAGAGATACAATCTCCGCCTCGGTCGTTGATCGGGAGACCGATGTCTGCCTTTTGGACACCCACGCAAGCGGAAAATGCGTGTGCGGACCACTCAAAATCAAGAATCCTCCGGACGTGGATTTTGCATCTCGCTCTCCGGCGAAATCGGCGTCTACATAAAGAGACAGATGCAAATCCTCAGTCGAATCTTGAACTGTGCCTACTAGCGTGCTGTTGACCGTGCTGTTTATGTAGCAAACAAGCCTATGTAGCTGCTTATCGCAGTTTCTAGACCATTTTTGAACAAATGAGGCAAGGTCGCCAATGGGCTTGACCAGGTCTGGGCGTGCCAAACGGCCGAGCCATAAGGCTTTCATCAACACGCGGCAAGCGGCAAAGCCGAGCTCACCCTCCAAGGCGTCATCTGCAGGATCTAGGGATCCAGCGGGACAGAATGGAGTGGTGGCATCGCGCAGCTTTTCACTTTTCAGCTGTGCAACCTCAAGATACAATGCCACCGTCTGACGGGCATAATCCCGCATGTCGAACGCCATGCCCCCTTTCAATCTGCCCATTGCGGCATTAAGATCGGGTTCAGTTGGGTCCTTTGGAGCATCTATCAAAAGGTGGTTCCTGCCTAGCACCCGATATATGTCTTCTGGGGGTTCTATATCAACCAATCTCGTTAACTTTTCCCAGAAGTCTTTATGAAGGTGGCTGGGGCCGGCCAACGTCAAGTCGTCGACGTATGTCGAGAGAAGTAACCCGGACTCCTTGAACCAGAAGTTTCCAGGAAACTCTGCGACCTCACGCCCTCCAAGTTCACTAATGAAACCTTTGAGGTGTGCCTCCCAGAGTCCGCCAGCGTCAGGATGCCCATAAAGAGCTTTAACGAGCAAAACCACAGGTTTCACGAAACGCTCGCGCCACCACCTTGGCCGGAGCTCAGGCGGGAGTGTGATCCAAGATTGGTACTTGGATTTCAGCAGTGCTTGCACATAAGCCTTTATAGCGTCCGCTGTTGTGGTGGAGTTCCCTGGCAGGGATCCATAAGCGAGACAGTTGTTAAGACCTTGTACGCTCGTGGGATTTGCTCCCAGTTCTTGGTAGACAGCTGCCGCGCCATGTTCATCTTTCGCACAGTCTCCGCGATACACAATCCTACCTTTCATCTTCTGAAGGTGTTTCGCGAGTTCGGCGAACTTGACGGATGCTAGCGACATCAACTGTCCGAAATGGACTTTTATACTGGATCGTCGCGCCTCAGCAGCGACTTGATCGTACTCTCGGACTGAATTTAGATCCCAGGCACCGGCTTTCTCCAGGCCTGTGGCTTCAAGTCGAACGGCTTCAAGAGCTTCCGGGGAAGCCAACATTTCGGCACGTGACAAGAGTCTGGTCACCATTGCGGTGATCTCCGGATCCTTCTTCTCTGTGACTTGTCCTAGGGAATGTGCGATGAGATTTTCAACATCAAGAACTTGCTCAAGAATGTTGTGACACTTTTCATCTGACTCAACAGCAACACCTATATCTTCCAAACCAGAGAGAGGGGATATGTGCTTCAACTGCTGTTCACGTTCCCGGTGATCGAGAGGCAATGGCACTTGGACAGGCATCGCAGGCACAACGGGTTGAACTGTTGGATACAGCGCACGGGCAACCGTGAGACACATGCCTTCGGGGTAGAAAGCGGTCTTTGCGGTCTTGTTACCTGCTGCAAGCGAATGTTTATACCCTTTTTCGTGCGGACACTTGAATGCACCTAGTGCGGACGCGAGTGTGCTATTGCTGGTCATGACTTTCCATGGCTTCTTGATGGGATAGCCATTGCTGTCCTTCAGGCCTAGGGCGCAACCATGGAAGGTCGCTGGGGTGAAGACGTGTGCATATTCTCTAAAGAATGCGGAAACATCATCCCTAGCCCAGCTGTCGCAATCCCTTGGCCACTCAAACGAAACACTACCCCCCTTGATGGAGGACAGTCTCTGCGTGACGTCTGAATCTGGAGAACAACTCTCTCGATTCTCTAACTTTTTGCTTCAGTTTCTTTTTGAACTGGCTTCCTAACTTGGCCTTATTAAGGCGTTGCCATGCTGAACCTGATGTACAGGGGATTGCGGCCCAGAGGTTGGGTTTATCACAACCTTCAATCTGCGACTGCAACTGGATTTCTCCTTCATCTGTGCTGAGGTCGATAAACTCTTTAGCCAGCCTAACATGAGGTATGCCAAGACCTTCAAACACGCGACCCATATTGGACTCTGGTGAACATGCGTATTCGAACATCACAGGCAACTTGTCAATACGCGCCTGTTTCTTGCGGGCACGATGATTTCCAACCTCAAACTGCTTGCGCTGTGGAGCTTCAACCTCTGCGCTGCATGGCATGCCGAAAATTGGCAATGTGTTCGGACGACCGTTCTTTGATGCATCGGTGAAAGGTGTCGGCGGTACGGAGTCTAACATCACGGCTGCACCTGTGGTGATAACACAATCGGACTGAATGGGTTTTAACTTGAACACTGTGAACCCGGTCCATGCATCTCCAAGTGAGCGATTGGGTCGGCTACCAAACCAACCATCATGGATGTTGTCTGCTTTGCCCCCCTGAAACACGGCACGAGTGGTGCGAGCTGCAGTAAATCTTTCTGGGGAAACGGGGCAATCCTCGACCTCTTTTGGGGTAAAGAGATTTTGCCTTGGCATGATATGGTATCGGACCAAACAGTTGGCATTTTCTTTGAACACCCAAAAATCTTCACCTTGCGATGTAGCGGCTGTCGCT